CCCCCTATTTGGCCCCGCCCCTCTGCCCCCAGGGGGGTTATACCCTCCGTTTATACAAAACTGAGAACCCTTTGGCCAATGATGCTCCTGACCAAATTTGGTCAAAATCCTCTGAGCCATTCAGGACAAGTAGCATTTTAAAGGAAAAAGTTGACGGACGCCGGACGCTGCACCATGGGATAAGCTCACTTGGCCCTTCGGGCCAGGTGAGCTAAAAATGGGGAAAGATTTTCACCCTGCTTAACCCCGGAATTACAAGTGAAGATATTGGAGAATGTTCCATCTTTCATGACTTTAGCCTTTATTCCAAAGTACATATTAACAATAACTTTGAATAATTTCCATCTACATTATTTGTTATTAATTTGTTCCACAACCCTATTCTCCAGACAGTCGAACGCTTTCTCAAAATCTATGAAAGCACAATACATACGGTTTTTGAATTGTCTTGAAATATGAATTCAGGAGTATAAAGAAAATATATGATCTATAGTAGAATGTTGCCTACGAAAACCTGCTTGGTTTTCAAGTATAAGATCGACATTGTCTACATATGTATTTAGACGCTCCACTATCAAGGGATGCTTCCAGTCAAATATGGCTGATATCCATCTCTTAGTTCCAGAGAAGAATTCCCTTAAAGCAATATAACCAAATTGCCCTCTTTTGGCCCCGCCCCTCAGTGGCCAGCCCCACCATTTGTACAATTTTGAATCCCCACCACCTAGGGATGCTTCCAGTCAAATTAAGTTAAATTCCAATCAGTGGTAAAAGGGACATCACTAGAAGCCATATTTTTTTTAATTAATGTATGTGTTGTGCACTTCCACTTATGTTACCTCGCTATCCCATATTCATAGTCCGTTCTGACTACTTGAATTGTTCAGGAAAGCCCTGCTAAAAATGTTGCCGTTAATGTCACCTGACAAGGCATGCAGTAAACACAAGTGGTCTGAGCGAGATGAAACGGTTTCCTTGTCAGACTCGATACACAGAAGCTTATACTTACTTGTCCCTTATCGTCTACTGTGACCTTACAATGTTCTCTTGATACATTTGGTAGCTGAATACGTATGTCACATTCATTGGATCTACAAACAGAAATATATTTTTTATCTCAACTCATGTTAGTTACATGCATGGGTTTGTAACAATCCTTCATGTTCCATTACATTATTGCATGTTAAATTATCTTCACCACCCTGCAAATCAGTCATCAAAAAGCTTCAAGATCATGTATATTGGTACATGCATTACAAGCAACAAACAAATGAGGGAAAAACAGGAAATGTATGCATGATCACCTAGCTAGTAAGCTTATTGATAATTTGATATACGGTGAGCTGCTATAATTCTTTCACTTTGACATTTTTCTAAAAAAAAATTCAAATTCACTTTTTCTTAGAATTCTAACCATGATTAGTTAATTAATTGTAAAAAACATTTTTTACAGCAAAACTATGTCTGGGAATGTCATCAAAGTATAGCTTTGATGCTGTGATAAAAAAAAAATCATATCTCAACAACAGAGTCAGGGATGATAATATAAAAATATTACAATGTAACATAAAAAGCTGTTAATAATTATCTAACAGTAAGTGCAATATTATCAAAATTGAATGTCAAATATTTCTGAAGCAATATTTAATTTGGTTTACATAAGACTCAAATAGGAAAACCATGTACCGTGAAAGACTTTCGGCTTGTTATGATCACTGTACTCGAGTGCTGTTCATATAATTGGCAAAAAAACTCATTTAGTCCGTAAACTATTTGATAAATTCTTTTTCTTAATCCTTACCTTCCAAACAAACAAACTGAAGTTGTCAAGGGAAATTGGGCCCCATCTGCACCAGTCCGCTTGATAACAACTATTTTACCATACAGCATACTGCAAAATAGGAATTATTCTGGTCAAAACCATTTTTAACACTAACATAACACCTCTAAACTTCTCAAAAGTCTGTGCCAACTAGAACACATTTCATATGAAAGCATTTGTCATAACAAATTAATGAGTTTTTAATTGCACTCAGGTGTTGAAGGTGTTAAATTTAAGAAATATTCAATGTGTGTGGGTGTGGAATATATAACGATAGTGAGAAAATGGTGGAAAAAAATCAATGAAGGCTACTTGCAGTCACAGTTAATTACTTATTTTTCCATCATTTTCAAACTTAACTATATTTTCCACCATAATATAGACACAAATGTGGATTATATATCTATTCTACCAAGTAAAATGTAATATCCTTTTTTTTGTCTACCTCAGTTTCCATACGTTCATGATATTAAGGTGACCTACATAGTTTCAAGTATTCAAATAAGGTGTATTTTATCATTTCTGAACCTTTGGGCAGTTGGACTATTTTGTCTATTTAACCTTGATATATTTTAGAAGAACTTTTTCATCACCATTCTGTCGATAGACGATAAACATCACACTGACATGCTCTTAACCGCATGTTTATTTCAAGCAATCCATTGACATTGCATGTCAACACATGAAATCAGCAATTTTGACAGATTTACAAACACTTTTTCAAGTTGCATGGTACGTTAAGCAAAACATTCTGACTGTGAGGTTTTAAAAAGATTAAGAGGTTAAATAGAAAGTTTTTTGTTTTGTTTATATCTAGCAAATCTTTAAACACATTACAAAATTAAATCATGTACCATCATTCAATGAAGGACACCAGTCCCAGGACCACTTGTTTACATTTGAGGGAATGCTTTTTTTAAGTGTGTTGGGTCTGTACATGTAGTAAAAAAATACATGCACCGTTTATTGTCAAACCATCATGATTATTCGCTAGTGTCATCAAATTAAATCACAAAGATGGTGGAATAGTGAATTATGTCAAATCATGAAATCAGCAAATGTTACTGTGCTCTAATAATCATTGTAGATTTCATAACATAAATGTTAACAAAAAAGGCTAGATACTTTCAGAGAAAAGAGGCTATTGTAAATATTCCACATAAAATGTTTATTGAATCAAGATCAAGTGAGTGATCCACTGTAATGTGAGCGTTAAGGTTAAATAGCATCTAGACTAAGAGAGTCAGACAGAAATTTCAGATTTGTTCCATCTATGTAATACTCCACAGAGACCAAAATGGCTTTAATGAAGAGGGGTTAATAAACTTGTAAGTCACTCTTTTCCAAGCTTTCCCTATATGAACATATGTTGTAGACAATTAGCAGAGGTGTTAGGTTTAGGGTTAATATACTTCATTGGGTTTCATGAACATTCAACTCAATATGTGCGGATGTGTTGTAGAAAATGTTTATTAAAACCAAAATTAGTAGCCTAATAATTTGAAATTAAATCGCATCTTGCAGTCTAACCATAACCCTAAATATTCTTATTTATTTAAGCTCACAGTAGTGGAAATAATTGCATTACATGTGAACTTAATGCGATGAACAACTCGTCAATTAGCATGTACTCATATTAAAAGCTAATTAAGCCGTTATGAAATTGCAACACAGAACCACAAAGGAAATTAGTCAAACGGCTTTTGGTTATTACTGGTTTGTTGATGTGCAGATTTTTTTTCATGCAAAAATCACTGTGGATCAAATTAACAACTTAAAATTAAACATGTTTTATTTCAGTAATATCATATCAGCAATTCTTTATATCTTAATAAATAAGACATAAAATAACATTGTAAACAACGTTCTCATCTATTTTACACGCCATATTATCAGATTTCGAAAAAGACATTTCAAACTTACCCGCGGAGCCACCACGAGACCACTACTTTGGTAAACAAATCTACTTGGGTTACATATTTTAAATTTAAAAGATAATATATCGTGTCATCTCAAATATAATGCATAAAACTGCAAGTTGACCTTACCTTCCTATCGGCTGTATAAAACAAATAACTGCGCGATGCGCGTACCCCGTAATATGTCGCCGCGCGAAGACTAATACAAATGCCGAGAAGGTAATGTGGTTATTAAGCCTGCGCAGGAAAAAAATAAAACCGGAAGTGTTATTTAAAATGGAATTATGCAAGTCCTTGAACAAAATATTTAGGGACTAATGGGTTGAAATGTAACAAAAAGAAACATTTACACTATAAAAGTTATTTTCCATGCGTAGAATCGTACTTTTTCAATACAACTAAGTAAACACTGGCTCTGCGTATTGATATACTTTCTTTTTTCCTGTGTAAGATTTAAATGTGGCTATTACTATTATACGATTGGTCAGTTGGAATCACCCGCCATTTTTATTGCCTTATATGGAAAAGTTTAAAGGTCAATATTGAATAGAACTGTTAACCTCATTTGCATTTGGCGTTGGATGGTGTCGTGAATGTTATGAATTAGGCGGGTAAGTACGATACTATCTTTACAAGCTCAGATTGTTGTCAATTACTTCTATGATACAATGTGATGTTAATATCAGTCTTTTTTTGTAAAAAATGTGTTTCTATGAACAAAAATGTCATATTTCTAAGAGGCTACGGCAGAACAATCAGAAACCATTCATAACAAACGGTTTATCAAGATAGGATGCAGTTTATTTTTGATCTTATACGAACTGTTATGATTTGTATTGCGCTAAATATGAATTGCACTGACAAGTATAAGCAACATGATCATCTGAAGATGGATTAGTTTGCTTGTTTGAAGTAGGGAACTTTGCCATCAATATGGGAATAGGACATTTTAAACAGTTATATCTATGTTGTGATTTCAACCAATCACATTGCTTTATTTACAAGTACTATGTCACGTGTGTAAACATAGTAGTAAATTTGTAGTAGGCTAAGCGTGACTTCTTCAGCTTGTTTTATGAACAGATGGCATTAAATGCCATTATATTAGATTACATAGTTTCGTTCCACTATCTTACCGTAACAGCTTTATGTGCAAGAAATGTAATCGTCGATAATGTAGATGAATATTACTTGCCAATTATATATATTCAAGTTGTAAGAGTACTGTAGTTATATAGCTATATAAGTTATAATGACAATGTATTCTGTACAGTACCTTATTTCAAATGTTATACCAATATGTTTAGTTTCCATAATTGTTTGCAATTTTATTCATTCAGGCATAATTGCTAGCCTCACATGTAAAATTTGCGTTTGAAACTGTGATAAAATACAAAAAAATATTTATATATTACTGACAGTATATGTATATAAAAAATACATCAAATGATTAAGCTATGAAAAAGTAATTAAGAGTTTTAATACTTATTTAATAATCTGCAGAATGGTACTAAAATTGTCCATAGCTAATAGTCCATTCTGTGTATACCTTATCAGTATCTTTTCATACAATTGTCCAATAGGCTTTAAGAGGAAATGTGTCTTATTTAAGATTCCATCAGGATGCCAGGGAGACAAACCAAAACACCGAAGCGGACAACCAGGCAGACCCCTGCTATTCCAGGAAGTCCAACAGATAATGGGTAGGTCATGATCAGGAAGTATTAGTCAATTTCAATATGGAGTCAAAAGGATAACATTTAACGGACAGGTCATAATTGGTTACCAGATATACAAATATGATAAAAAGTATTTAAATAAGATCAGCTATAAAAAAAGAAATTCTATCTTAGTATGAATCCATGATTACACGACATGTCTGAATTAATTATTATATTATAGAGATAATAGATATAGTGCAGACAATTTGTGATATCAACATAAATACATATTTTATGTTTAGTTTACTGTTACAAATAACATGTACATCAAAATGATAAAGACAATTTCAAAACAAAATACCTTATCAGTGTGCACTATTTTGTGGTTCTCTTCACCAAATGAGACAAAGTAACGGGTGTCTATTATCAGTAATTTCCATTCCAATCTGTTTCAACTTTCATCAACATAGTCCTGCCTCAACGAAATACAATATAGTTCTGAGAAATAATCTTTGTCTTATAAATAACAGTATGGATGATAACTTTCATAACTGGTAAACAGTGCCTTAGGGCTTTTTACACAAGTTATGACTACTGGTAGGACAGGTTACATTGCCTAAGGTATCTAGTAAGGTGTGAGCTTATAAACGCCTGTGAATAGTGCCATAAGGAGGTGTTGATTATATCATACGGCGACCAGTACCATACATACAACCAGCTATCTTGTTAGTACTATAGAATAAAACACATGCCAAAGGCTTTTTTTGCATGTTGGAAATGGTAATTGGTTTGATTTGGTTTTGCCAAACATTCCTTAAAGCAAGAATTAGATCTTCTGGGTTTTGTTTGTATCTCCTGCATTATAAATAAAATAAATGAAATCATGTTTCTGTGTCCACCCAAAAATAATTTTTAAATGACAAATAGTTTGTTTTTCCAGGAAAATTTTGAGTGTGATGACTGGGTTGGAAGGATTAAGTTAGATATTTAAATTTGATATTTTTTCACATTCTCAGAATCTGAGAAATAATATTAAATGTGAAAGACTAGGTAAGTTACCAGGAAATGTAGAGAGCCTCTTGGCTGAAAGTTTAGACCATGTTGATACCAGGTATTTTCCCCCAACTATTTTGTGGACTTGCCAGAGTCTAAGTTTGTGTTGTCCCCCTGGGCTTACTGCAGGATAGTACAGTATTTAATTGACACAATGTATTGAGAGCATTGACATTTTGGTTGTCTTTCAGAATTTTGAAGCCTTTGAGTCCAAAAACTCCGGGATGGCTGTCAGGACGCCATGCAGTTTTTAAGACACCGGGGTCACCTTCCCCAAAGCAACTTAGGACTCGCAGGTAATAAAGGGTCTCTCTCCCAAACACTTGATACTGCCTGTAATAACGACCCATCACAGAAGGATATTACCAAATTCTCCAATAGAACAGTAAAGTTGTTCATGACAGGGGTTCATCGGCACGTTAGATATTAGATCACACACATTTTTGATTGGGAAAAGAGGGTCCTGACAGAAAAAAAAGTCTCCTGATAAACCCTGATGGTTTTCACACAAAAACATGATAGCTGGGACATCACCTGATAAACCCTGATGGCTTTCACACAAAAATATGATAGCTGGGACATTTTCTGATAAACCATGATGGCTTTCACACAAAAACATGATAGCTGCGACATCACCTGATAAACCCTGATGGCTTTCACCCAAAAACATGATAGCGGGACATTTCCTGATAAACCCTGATGGCTTTCACACAAAAATATGATAGCTGGGACATTTTCTGATAAACCATGATGGCTTTCACACAAAAACATGATAGCTGGTACATTTCCTGATAAACCCTGATGGCTTTCACACAAAACCATGATAGCTGGGACATTTCCTGATAAACCATGATGGCTTTCACACAAAAACATGATAGCTGGTACATTTCCTGATAAACCCTGATGGCTTTCACACAAAACCATGATAGCTGGGACATTTCCTGATAAACCATGATGGCTTTCACACAAAAACATGATAGCTGGGACATCCCCTGATAAACCCTGATGGCTTTCACACAAAACCATGATAGCTGGGACATTTCCTGATAAACCCCGATGGCTTTCACACAAAAACATGATAGCTGGTACATTTCCTGATAAACCCTGATGGCTTTCACACAAAACCATGATAGCTGGGACATTTCCTGATAAACCCTGATGGCCTTCACACAAAAACATGATAGCTGGGACATTTCCTGATAAACCCTGATGGCTTACACACAAAAACATGATAGCTGGGACATTTCCTGATAAATCCCGATGGCTTTCACACAAAAACATGATAGCTGGGACATTACCTGATAAACCCTGATGGCTTTCACACAAAACCATGATAGCTGGGACATCACCTGATAAACCCTGATGGCTTTCACCCAAAAACATGATAGCGGGACATTTCCTGATAAACCCTGATGGCTTTCACACAAAACCATGATAGCTGGGACATCACCTGATAAACCCTGATTGCTTTCACACAAAAACATGATAGCTGGGACATCTCCTGATAAACCCTGATGGCTTTCACACAAAAATATGATAGCTGGGACATTTCCTGATAAACCATGATGGCTTTCACACAAAAACATGATAGCTGGGACATAACCTGATAAACCCTGATGGCTTTCACACAAAACCATGATAGCTGGGACATCACCTGATAAACCCTGATGGCTGTCACACAAAAACATGATAGCTGGGACATTTCCTGATAAATCCCGATGGCTTTCACACAAAAACATGATAGCTGGGACATCACCTAATTTAATATTACCTAAGATAATATCTCCTGTTCCTTGTTAGAAACATGATCTTAGTGATATTCAAGCTCCTGCCAAATAGATTAACGGACTAGATCCATCAACAATGTCAGTTGTAATGAATGGCGTCAGTTATCTCCCTTGCATCATTAAAGCTCCATAAGGACAGCATGTTTGTCAATTTCTGAAATGAAAATAGTTTAATTGTCAATTAAGTACAATGTATTTATGTTGTCTAAGATCTTGATGTCATTTAAAAATTTCTGCATATTCTAAAGTTTGATATTAAACTGATGAATATTGTATGTTTATTATTGACAGAACAGTGTGTTCTCTCAATATTAAAGTATTTCAAAGCAACCCAGGCATTAATTAAGTTGTTCTTTTATCAATGAGTCACATGCGTCCATTTTTCTATACATCAGGAAACCGGCTACCTATTTCACTTCTGTGAAGTTTTTCAAGACATAACTCTTACATGCAATTACTATGTGTATATGGTTTTATTAAAAAATGTCAATTTTTAATCGTTTATAGATAATTTATTTTACACAATTTCAGCATTTATTAAATTGATATACATTAATGCAATACTAATCTATGGCAGTATTATTTTTATTGACATTATTTTGCTGCCTGGTTAAAAAACATGTAAGTCCATTGTGTGACTGCCTGGTAAAAAAACATGGAAGTCCATAGTGTGACTGCCTGGTAAACATGGAAGTCCATAGTGTGAATGGCTGGTAAACATGGAAGTCTAATCGAATCTTTCACCCCCTTTGGGGTGAGACAGGGTAATCTCAACCCTCGGGGTAAGACTCCTGAGCTGTCAAACACTTGGCAAGCCTCGTGTTTGACAGCTTAAGAATCTTACCCTATCACTCCCAAGGGGGTGAATAATTATTTGCACACTAAGCTGAAATGATATTGCTTGCTTTTGCAAAACTGGCCTATCCCATTTACACTGTAGCTGGCTGGTGTAGTACCGGTATATACATTCCTCTAGGTGAATGTCTGTCTAGCTAGTCTAACTATTGTTTACCTGGTTTAATATTGTAAATTTAGCAAGCCTCGTATGACCTCTTGATAATGAATTTTAATTATCTGTTGGTAATGGAATCCTATTGGTAAATTCATTTCAGTGTTTTAGATTTTCATTTCTTTTTATGCATTTTTTGTTGTTGTTATTTTCAGGTCATCCATGTACCAGTCAAAGATGATAGAAAAACGATTTGAATCACAGAGTAAGGTAACAAAAGTGGTTTCTGCTGATAAACAACGTATACGTTCTCCTCCGGTTGCTAAACGCACAAGAAGATCATCTGTTTACCAAAAGACAGCTTTGCGATTAGTTGATATTCCTCTATCCCCTGAGTCACACAGCTCCAAACTGGTGTCCCCTAAAGGTGTCACCACCAGGACTAGGAGGTCCTCTGTATACCACAAAGGGGGTGCCAAGCTTGTCCAGATCACAGAAGAAACAGCTGCTACACAGAAAGGGAGAACATTACCTGTGTCTGTCAGACCAGTCGCCAACCTGAAGCCCCGGGATAAATATATTCCAGAGGTTACAGTTAAACAGGAACTAAAGCCACCTCGTCCTGCTCCTAAGTCAGCCAAGTCCTCGCCACAGAAGAGGAAGATTCAGGATCCAGTCAAATCCCCAAAGGCAAAGAGGTTCAAGGTCAGTAGTCCCACAATCCCAGCGGTGATGGTCAAACAGACGACAGAGAAGGCCAGCAGTCCTCAGAGTAAGAGGAAGGCCGCCGCGAAAACTCCAGCAAAGTCCAAAACAAAGAAAACTCCAGTAAGATCTTTGACAGCAAAAACACCTTCAAAATCTACAAGGTCATATCGTAATTCTCCTTTGGTGCGAGAGGTATCGCCTGTGGACAAATCTACACCTGTCAGTAAGACTCAAGGCAAAAAGATAAAAAATCCAGCAACAAAATCCCCAGTAAAGACACAAGCTCCTGTCACTCAGAAAAAAGCCAAATCACCAGCTGTAAAATCTCCAGTTGTTCAGAATAAGGCAAAGTCACCCGCTGCAAAATCTCCAGTTGTTCAGAGTAAGGCAAAGTCACCTGCTGCAAAAACTCCTGTTGTTAATAGTAAAGCAAAGATGCCCGCTGCAAAATCTCCTGTCGTTCAGAGCAAAGCCAAGACACCAGCCGCACAAACTCCTGTTGTTAATAGTAAAGCAAAGATGCCCGCTGCAAAATCTCCTGTTGTTCAGAGTAAAGCCAAGACACCAGCCGCACAAACTCCTGTTGCTCAGAGCAAAGCCAAGACACCAGCCACAAAAACTCCTGTTGTTCAGAGTAAAGCCAAGACACCAGCTACAAAAACTCCTGTTGTTCAGAGTAAAGCAAAGACACCAGCCACAAACACTCCTGTTGGTCACAGTAAATTCAAGACACCAGCAGCAAAAACTCCTGTTGTTCAGAGTAAAGCAAAGACGCCAGCTACAAAATCTCCCGTAGCTCACAGTAAGTCAAAGACACGAACCACAAAAACTCCTGTTGTTCAGAGTAAAGCAAAAACGCCAGCTACAAAATCAGTGTTAAAAAGTCCTGCAAGAAAAATTAAAAAGTCATCACCAGTGAAGGACACACCAGTCCTTAAACTACACAAACAGGTAGTAATGCTAGAACAGAATAAACACCATGCTACTGCAGAGAAAAGAAAACTGTCCGCAGAAGGTGATGACATCAGGAGTCCTCAAGCTTCAAAAAAACTCAAGTCTGCTGTAGAAAGTCTACATGGTCAGACAACTGTAAAACGCAAATCTGTTATTTTTCAATCTCCACCTGGTAGCGGAAAAAGGCTGAAGACACCAAAAAGGCTCCCAAAAACACCAATAGTTAAGCGCAAAACGACACCAGCACGCCATGCGGAGGTGTTGTCACAAAAAGAAGACATTGACCCTGTCAATAAGGGTCACAAGGAAGATCCATTCAACATCACCCTGACTGATGAGGCAAACACATCCATCACCAGCCAGACAAGCAATGGGCTGAACTTAACATACTCACACTCATCACGATGTATCATACTCTAGTCCTCTGGAGGTGTCCTACGACACACTCAGCCTTCACTTGTATAGGGTATCCTCAGTTTCGCAATTTCTCAAATAGTGTCCTAGCCTCTTTGAGACCTCACAGGGTGTCCTAGCCTCTGTTAGTACACACAGGGTGTCCTAGCCTCTGTGAGCCATCACAGGGTGTCCTAGCCTCTGTGAGACCTCATTGGGTGTCCTAGCCTGTTAGTACACACAGAGTGTCCTAGCCTCTGTTAGTACACACAGGGTGTCCTAGCCTCTGTTAGAATACACAAGGTGTCCTAGCCTCTGTTAGTACACACAGGGTGTCCTAGCCTCTGTTAGAATACACAAGGTGTCCTAGCCTCTGTTAGTACACACAAGGTGTCCTAGCCTCTGTTAGTACACACAGGCTGTCCTAGCCTCTGTTAGTACACACAAGGTGTCCTAGCCTATGTTAGTACACACAGAGTGTCCTAGCCTCTGTGAGTACACACAGGGTGTCCTAGCCTCTGGGAGTCCACACAGGCTGTCCTAGCCTCTGTTAGTACACACAGGCTGTCCTAGCCTCTGTGAGTACATACAGGCTGTCCTAGCCTCTGTTAGTACACACAGGCTGTCCTAGCCTCTGTTAGTACACACAGGCTGTCCTAGCCTCTGGGAGTTCACACAAGGTGTCCTAGCCTCTGTTAGTACACACAGGGTGTCCTAGCCTCTGTTAGTACACACAGGCTGTCCTAGCCTCTGGGAGTTCACACAAGGTGTCCTAGCCTCTGTTAGTACACACAGGCTGTCCTAGCCTCTGTGAGTACACACAGGCTGTCCTAGCCTCTGGGAGTACACACAAGGTGTCCTAGCCTCTGTTAGTACACACAGGGTGTCCTAGCCTCTGTGAGCCATCACAGGGTGTCCTAGCCTCTGTTAGTACACACAGGCTGTCCTAGCCTCTGTTAGTACACACAGGCTGTCATAGCCTCTGGGAGTATTCAAAGAATATCCTATGCTTTGTGATTCTTTAGTGTGACCTAGCCTCTTTGAGACCTCACAGGGTGTCCTAGCCTCTGTGAGACCTTACAGGCTCTTCTAGCCTCTGTTAGTACACACAGGCTGTCCTAGCCTCTGTGAGCCATCACAGGGTGTCCTAGCCTCTGGGAGTCCACACAGGCTGTCCTAGCCCCTGTTAGTACACACAGGCTGTCCTAGTCTCTGTGAGCCATCACAGGCTGTCCTAGCCTCTGGGAGTCCACACAGGCTGTCCTAGCCCCTGTTAGTACACACAGGCTGTTCTAGCCTCTGTGAGCCATCACAGGGTGTCCTAGCCTCTGTTAGTACACACAGGCTGTCCTAGCCTCTGGGAGTACACACAAGGTGTCCTAGCCTCTGTTAGTACACACAGGGTGTCCTAGCCTCTGTGAGCCATCACAGGGTGTCCTAGCCTCTGTTAGTACACACAGGCTGTCCTAGCCTCTGGGAGTACACACAAGGTGTCCTAATCTCTGTTAGAATACACAAGGTGTCCTAGTCTCTGTGAGTGCACACAGGGTGTCCTAGCCTAGCTCTGTTAGTACACACAGGCTGTCCTAGCCTCTGGGAGTCAACACAGGCTGTCCTAGCCTCTGTTAGTTCACACAGGCTGTCCTAGCCTCTGTGAGCCCTTACAGAGTGTCCTAGCCTCTGTGAGTACACACAAGGTGTCCTAGCCTCTGTTAGAATACACAAGGTGTCCTAGTCTCTGTGAGTGCACACAGGGTGTCCTAGCCCCTGTTAGTACACGCAGGGTGTCCTAGCCTCTGTTAGTGCACACAAGGTTTCTTAGCCTCTGTTAGTACACACAAGCTGTCCTAGCCTCTGTTAGTACACACAAGGTGTCCTAGCCTCTGTTAGTACACACAGGGTGTCCTAGCCTCTGGGAGTTCACACAGGGTGCCCTAGCCTCTGGGAGTACACACAAGGTGTCCTAGCCTCTGAGTACACACAAGGTGTCCTAGCCTCTGTTAGTACACACAGGGTGTCCTAGTCTCAGTTAGTACACACAGGCTGTCCTAGCCTCTGGGGGTTCACACAAGGTGTCCTAGCCTCTGGGAGTCCACACAGGCTGTCCCAGCCTCTGTTAGTACACACAGGCTGTCCTAGCTTCTGGTAGTACACACAGGCTGTCCTAGACTCTGGGAGTTCACACAAGGTGTCCTAGCCTCTGGGAGTCCACACAGGCTGTCCTAGCCTCTGTTAGTACACACAGGCTGTCCTAGCTTCTGGTAGTACACACAGGCTGTCCTAGCCTCTGGGAGTTCACACAAGGTGTCCTAGCCTCTGGGAGTCCACACAGGCTGTCCTAGCCTCTGTTGGTCCTCACATTGGTTATTTGGGTTTGTTTGTCCTCACATGATGTCTTGGGCACTATTTATCATTAAATATTTTATCTCAGCCTCATTTTCAGAAAACATCAATCTTTATTTATATTGAGGAGATGTCCATTCAATGTATACAGGTGGTAGTGTCAAGTTTATATCAATCCGATGGGACATGTACATTAGTTAAGATTTATTATATTTAAAATATCGGTTTGTATGTTACTATTTGTATGTATATATTTTATTCAAAACAAAGATTTTAAGATTCTATTTATTTTTTTATAGTTATTTAGGTTTTAGGTTTTTTACGAATATTTTTGTTTTTAGTGCACTTCCCATCTTGTATTGATACATTTTAAGTTTAATTTTCTTTTATGAGATATAGAAACATATATAAGTCATCACTAAATTTAGACTTTCCATTGATAACAAAGAAGTTGACTTTGATCAGTGGCTCTGTTCTTTGATCCCATTCCTATGTATTGGGTATTGTAACAAAGATTGAGATATTATTGACAATGTTTAAAGTATAGGTATAGCAGTAACTTATTGATATGGTACTGTTCATGTTAGAACAGTGGAAATGGGAGTTTTACCAGGTTTACAGACAAAGGCTGTGTATGTTATAATGACACATGTACCACTGGTTTGTCTGTAACCTTGTTTATAAAACTGTGAGTGAATATGACTTACAGAGTGGACTATGATATACCTAAACTTTTATTTGGACAACTTATTAAAATATTGATTTTGTGTTGGTTGTTTGAACAAGATTTTCAATTAAATGTCACAATTGGTATAGACCAATGAATGGATTGAATTCATGTAATTATTATGATGCTACAATCCAGGGATTTACCAGCATTTTTCCTGGAAAAACAAATGTAATGTGTCTTTTAAACTGTTCTGTCATTTAAAAAAAAATGTCCAATCTACGGTAGTTTCTAAAAATTCATAAAAGTCAAGAGAGGGAATTCTTTTCTTATAATTTTACAAGTTTGGAAAAGAGCTTGACAAGTTGAGATATTTTTTTCATTTTTGGTTATGTTGAACAGCTAGTGGGGGTGATAAACAGACTTCAAGCTCAAACGACATAGAGCAAGTATTATCAAGTGAATAGAAAATACAGGAAAAGTCATTCCAAACTTGGAATAGTACCAGGTAAGAGCTAATTAAGCAAAAGAAATGAAATTAAATGATGTACTAGATATTGATTTGTTATGAAGATGTATTAATACAGTGAGTATGAGTATGACTATCAAATTTAAATTTTCTCTTTCTCTTATTCTACTTTTCTTCTGTCTTTGTTTATGTCACCTCTTGTAAATACAGAAGTGTACATGATCAACCTCCACTATGATGTCCGTCCTTCGTCACACCTCATTATTAATGTTTAATTTAAAAACTAGAGTTCATTTTCATTGTTAGTTTATGTAGCATTCTTTTTTGTCAATATCTCCATAAACTAAGAAAACACAAGAACTTCTTCCTTAATGCACAGGAATTGTTTCTTAGACCTGTAAACAGCAGAGAACAATGTCTGTTTTGTACTTATAATTGGTTTAAAGCAAACTTTTTATAGTACCGTAGTTTCTTTTTCACTGAGCCTACAAAACATTGCTGAAAGCATGCCTTTATTGAGCCTGCTTATATTAATGTGATCACAGCTGTCTAATGGTCAAATATAAAACCCTTTTAGAGGTCAGTATTATGATATTAACTAGTAGACTAGTTTAGCCTTATTTAACAGGAGATGTTAATGTTCACATCAGAGGTGTGTGTCTACGTATACACTGAGGGAGGTGTGTGTCTACGTATACACTGAGGGAGGTGTGTGTGTGTGTGTCTACGTATACACTGAGGGAGGTGTGTGTGTGTGTCTACGTATACACTGAGGGAGGCGTGTGTCTACGTATACACTGAGGGAGGTGTGTGACTATGTATACACTGAGGGAGGCGTGTGTCTACGTATACACTGAGGGAGGTGTGTGACTATGTATACACTGAGGGAGGCGTGTGTCTACGTATACACTGAGGGAGGGGTGTGTGTGTGTCTACGTATACACTGAGGGAGGCGTGTGGCTACGTATACACTGAGGGAGGCGTGTGTCTACGTATACACTGAGGGAGGTGTGTGTCTACGTATACACTGAGGGAGGCGTGTATGTGAGAAATCACAAGGCTATTTTGTAACTTATCAAACTCAGTTTCGATTTTTGTTTTACTGATGATAAATTTATAACCAATCATTTTAATAAATCTGATTAGTATTTACCCACTTTCGATGTGGCCAACAGGACACGAATGTAGTGTGCCCATGTATGTGTGTGTGTTGTGAGTTTGATGTGTGCCCATGTATGTGTGTGTTGTGAGTTTGATGTGTGCCCATGTATGTGTGTGTTGTGGGTTTGATGTGTGCCCATGTATGTGTGTTGTGAGTTTGATGTGTGCCCATGTATGTGTGTGTTGTGAGTTTGATGTGTGCCCATGTATGTGTGTGTTGTGAGTTTGATGTGTGCCCATGTATGTGTGTGTGTTGTGAGTTTGATGTGTGCCCATGTATGTTGTGAGTTTGATATGGTGGGGTACACATCATGTGATGTCAGATTGTATGTTGTGTAGTTTGTTATGTGCATGTATGATGTCGCGTAAACATGTGTTCTTCATGTGTTTTGAATGTGTTGACTTGTAAACATATTTTGAATGTGTTTTGAGGGCGTTTTGTTAACATGTTGTGAGGGTGTGTTGTTAACATATTGTGAGGGTGTGTTGTTAACATATTTTGAATGTGATGTAAACATATGCGGTAGTCTAGTGGTAGGTTGCCGGGCTCCTGATCGAAGGGTTGCGGGTTCGAGACACGGCATGGCACTGTGTGGTATCCTTGAGCAAGATACTTTATTCCGCTTGTTCCAGTCTACTCAGCTGTAAATGAGTACGTGGTTGGATAGTGCTAGAATTGTAAAATACTAGCTGTGAGCCCCGAAATGGCAGCACCGGCTGTATACTCCCCAGGGAGTTGAGAAAGATATTGGCTGGTTGCAAAGGCCCTATAACCACGGATAATAATTTGTGAACCGCTTTGAGACGACCTACAAACGTTGTGTTAAAGCAGTATATAAGAACCCCAAATTATTATTTTTATTGTGAGTGTGTGTTGTTATAATATTTTTATGAATGTGGTCTGAGGGTGTTGTGTTATGAGTTAATCACTCAGGGAAATTTCCTCCGACTAATGGAGTGGAATTGGTGATAACCTGCTACATTTTGGTAGCAATTTGTTTTGTGTAATTTCCTCTGTCAGGGGAGTGGATCAGTCATGACTTAATACATTTTGATAGCGATTTGTTTTGTGTGTGTAATTTTCTCCTTCAGCGGAGTTGAGTTGATAATGACAAGCTACATCTTGGTAGCTATTTGTTTTGTGTGTGTGTGTGTGTGTAGGTGTGACCTGGCAATTTGTAAAACTTTGGATTCTGGGTTGGCTTCCTTGATAATTACAAATAGGTGCCATTTCTTTTTATTACTAAAAGAACAGATAACTGCATCAACAAAAAAAAATATCAAATTAATATTATGTAAACTAACTTACTGACTCCTCATAGATTTACTGAAAACACCGCCTATTGAATAATGCCCTGGTTTTGGACAAAAGTTGTAGGATAATTTTTTGTACACATATATATGTTTGTGTCAACGTTTTATTGACAGGTACAACATATCCTTGTTAGTTTAGACACCCGTGGAAATATTAAGGACTGAGGAGATTCCGTTACAGGAGATAGCGTGTGTATATGAGGGCATGCTATTAACTTAACTTCCACAATTATTTAGACATATATTGAGTCAAATGTCTTCAGTTTCCCCCCATTTCCCCATTGAATTACCCAGTACTGGGTAAGCTTATCAATTACCTCCCTTTATAGGTCACATGACCTGTTTTACTATAATTCTATAGTTGTGAATCAATTTGCCAATCACCTGCTAAACATTTTTTGGACATTTCAAACACAGACCTGAGATCATTTACTTTAGCATCATATCTAGTCTCTATTCAATGTTGTACCTCAGTAGTTTTGTATCTCAAATTTTAAATCTTTTTCATTTAAAATTCTCATTTAATTATTACTTTTTTTACATTGCTTTTCTTCGTAGTTTGGTTTCAAGTTCTGGTCATTGAAGAATAAGTTACTCTGCAGAGTTATAATTTGTTTTTCACTATCCAGAAATTATTTTAATTATGAAATGATTGCTTAATAATTCACAACCTATAATAATGTCCCCCTTTATTTCATCATTGGGTATATTTCCTCAAGTCCTGAACTAATTTTAGACTTATAGGCAGAGGGAAGTTCTAGGAATATGTCATAAACCATAGCATCAGATGGGTAAGGAGTCCCTTTTGGATACTTTTTTTTTCTAAATAAAAAGAAAAT